ATTACCAATGGCATTTTTCACAGAACTAGAACAAAAAATTTTACAATTTGTATGGAGACACAAAAGACCCGAAATATCCAAAGCAATCTTGAGAAAGAAAAATGGAGCTGGAGGAATCAGACTGCCTGACTTCAGACTATACTACAAAGCTACAGTAATCAAGACAATATGGTACTGGCACACAAACAGAAATATAATCAATGGAAATGGATAGAAAGCCCAGAGATAAACCCATGAACCTATGGTCAACTCATCTATGACAAATGAGGCAAGGATATGTAACGGAGAAAAGACAGCCTCTTCAATAAGTGGTGCTGGGAACACTGGACAGCTATATGTAAAAGAATGAAATTAGAACACCCCCTAACACCATACACAAAAATAAACTCAAAATGGATGAAAGACCTAAATGTAAGACCGGACACTATAAAACTCTCAGAGGAAAACATAGGAAGAACCCTCTATGACATAAATCACAGCAAGATCTTTTTTGACCCACCTCCTAGAGTAATGGAAATAAAAACAGAAATAAACAAATGGGACCTAATGCAGCTTAAAAGCTTTTTCACAGTAAGATTTTTTTGACCCACCTCCTAGAGTAATGGAAATAAAAACAGAAATAAACAAATGGTACCTAATGCAGCTTAAAAGCTTTTTCACAGTAAAGGAAACTATAAACAAGACGAAAAGACAACCCTCAGAATGGGAGAAAATAATTGAAAACAAATGAACAGACAAAGGATTAATCTCCAAAATATACAAATAGATGCTCATGCAGCTCAATATCAAAAAAACAAACAACTCAATCCAAAAATGGGTGGAAGACCTAAATAGACATTTCTGCAAAGACATACAGATGGCCAAGAGGCAAATGAAAAGCTGCTCAACATCACTAATAGAGAAATGCAAATCAAAGCTACAATGAGGTATCACCTCACACCAGTTAGAGTGGACATCATCAGAAAATCTACAAACAAATGCTGGAGAGGGTGTGGAGAAAAGGGAACCCTCTTGCACTGTTGGTGGGAATGTAAACTGATACAGCCACTATGGAGAACAGTATAGGGGTTCCTTAAAAAACTACAAATAGAATTACCGTTTGATCCAGAAATCCTGGGCACATATCCAGACACAACTATAATTCAAAAAGATACATGCAACCTTATAGCCAAGACACAGCAACAACCTAAACGTCCATCAACAGATGAATGGATAAAGAAGATGTGGTATAGATATACAGTGGGATACTACTCAGCCATAAAAAAGAATGAAATAATGCCATTTGCAGCAACATGGACACAACCAGAGATTATCATACTAAGTGAAGTAAGTCAGAAAGCGAAAGACAAATACCATTATGTTATCACTTAAATGTAGTATCTAATACAAATGAACCTATCTACGAAACAGAAACAGAATCAAGGACGTAGAGAACAGACTTGTGGTTGCCAAGAGGAAGAGGGGTGGGGGAGGGGTGGACTGGGAGTTTGAGGTTAGCAGATGCAAACTATTATATATAGGATGGATAAACAACAAGGTCCTACTGTATAGCACAGGGAACTATATTCAACATCCTATGATAAACCATAAAGGAAAAAATATTTTAAAAAAAGAATGTGTATATATGTATAACTGAATCACTTTGCTGTATAGCAGAAATTAATACATTGTAAATCAGCTATACTTCAATAAAAAAATAAATTAAAATAAAATCTATGCCCCCTAAAGGCACTAGGCCCAGAGTGTTACATGGGTGAATTTGTCTCAATAAAACCAATAATCTCTATTTTATTCCTAGATATTAAAAAGGAAAAGGCCCCTAACTCATTCTGCGAGGTGAGCACAAACACATACGCACGAAATGCTATAAGCTGGGTTCTATGGACCAAATCTCTCTTGCCAATTATGTTTAGATAGCATTTTTTAATGCTGAATATAAATGTTATGAGACCCAACATCCATTCTCCTATTACCACAGTCCCCTCTTCTCTCTTTGTGAACCTCATCTACTCCACTTGACTCAACTTTTTAAAACAAATTTGGCTCCTCTAGGCATTTGAGTTTACAATTCTTACCACACACCAATTTCACTTGTGAATATGAAATTTTAAATTCTACCAAAATCTTAGCAAATCAAATCTAGCAGAGCAAAAGAACAAGGTATTATAACTAAATAGAGCTTAGATTACAACTAGCTTATCATTAGAAAATTAATTCACAGTAGTCAGTATATTAATATATTAAAGAACCAAAAAATGGGGGAAAAAAGAAGTGGTATATCAATGAATCATTTAATATAGAGATTCTCAGCCTTTGGGGATCCATGGATGGGCTCCAAAGAGTCCATGACAACTTGCAATTCTAAGCACAACATTGGTGTATGGGTGGCGAGTTTCACAGACACATTAATTCTCAAAGAAGTCCACAATTCATGAATCCTTTCATATGTTGCAGCATTATAATAGACTACTCTGAATTAAAATGATATTGCTGAAGGCCATGCTAGAAACAGGACAGAAGAATATACAATACCAATATTCATACTGATCCATTTTTAAGACAGATTCTTAAATTCGACTTCATTAAAAAGCATGACAGGCATACAATTGTTACTACAAATTGAAGGTTTCTGGTAACCCTGCATCAAGCAAGTCTATCAGTGCCATTTCCAACAGCATTTGCTCATTCTGTGTCTGTGTCACATTTTGGTAATTTATGCAGTAATTCAAATTTTTAACTATTATACTTGTTATGGTGATCTGTAATCAGTGATCTTTGATATTATTATTGTAATTGTTTTGTGGCGCCACAAAGCCATCCACATAAGATGGCAAACTTAATCCATACGTGTTGTGTGTGTTCTGACTGCTCCACTAACCAGCCGTTCCCCCATCTCCCTCCCTCCAGACCTCCCTGTTCCCTGAGACACACAGTATTGAAAGTAGGCCAATTTCGTGTTCAAGTGAAAGGAAGAGTACGGGTCTCTCATTTAAAGCAAAAGCTAGAAATGATTAAGGTTAGCGAGGAAGGCACGTCAAAACCCAAGATAGGCCCAAAGCTAGGCCTCTTTCACCAGGCAGTTAGCCAAGTTGTGGATGCAAAGGAAAAATTCCTGAAGAAAATAGAAAGTGCTACTCCAGTGAACACATGAATGATAAGAAAGCAAAACAGCCTTATTGCTGATATGGAGAAGTTCTGGATAGAAGATCAAAACAGCCACAGACTCTCTTAAGCCAAAGCCTATTCCAGAGCAGGGCCCTAACTCTCTTCAATTCTATGAAGGCTGAGAGAGGTGAGGAAGCTGCAGCAGAAGTGTTTGAAGCCAGCAGAGGTTGGTTCATGAGATTTAGGGAAAGCAGCCGTCACCATAACATCAAAGAGCAAAGTGAAGCAGCAAGTGCTGATGTATAATAGAAGCTGCAGCAGGGAAAGAAGCCGTCACCATAACATCAAAGAGCAAAGTGAAGCAGCAAGTGCTGATGTATAATAGAAGCTGCAGCAAGTTATCTAGAAGATCTAGCTAAGATAATTTAAAAAGGGGGCTACACTAAACAACAGACTTTCAACGTACGAAACAGCCGTCTATTGGAAGAAGACACCATCTAGGGCTTTCACAGCTAAGGAGAAATGAATGCCTGGCTTCAAAGCTTCACAGGACAAGCTGACTCTCTTGTTAAGGGCTATTGTACTTGGCTTTAAGTTGTTCATTTAGCAATATGCTGATTTACCATTCTGAAAATCTGAGGACCCTGAAAGATGATGCTCAACCTACTCTGCCTATCTCTATCAATGGCACAACAAAGCCTATATGACAGCACAGCTGTTTACAACATTGTTTGCTGAATATTTTGAAACCACTGTTGAGACCTATTGCTCAGGAAAAAAAGATTTCTTTCAAAATATGACTGCTCATTGGCAACACACCTGGTCAACCCAAGAGCTCTGATGGAGACGTACAACAAGATTAATGACGTTTTCATGCCTCCTAACACAACATCCATTCTGCAGCCGTGGATCAAGGAGTAATTTTGACTTTCAAGTGTTATTATTTAAGAAATACACTTTGTAAGGCTAGAGCTAGAAATTCCTCTACTGGATCTGAAACTGGATCTGCAAATTAAACTGAAAACCTTTTGGAAAGGATTCACCATTCTAGATGCCATGAAGAACATTCATGATTCATGGGAAGAGGTCAAAGTATCAACATGCACAAGAGTTTGGAAGAAGTTGATTCCAGCCCTCATGGATGACTTGAGGGGTTCAAGAGTCCAGTGGAGGAAGAAACAGCAGGTGTGGTGGAAACAGCAAGAGAACCAGAATTAGAAGTGGAGCCTGAAGATGTGACAGAATTGCTTCAATCTCACGGTAAAACCTGAACAGATAAGGAGTTGCTTCCTACAGCTGAGCAAACAAAGGGGTTTCCTGAGATGGAATCTACTCGTGGTGAAGATGCTGTAAAGACTGTTGAAATGGTAACAAAGAATTTAGAACATCACATAAATTTAGTTGATAAAGCAATGGCAGAGTTTCAGAGAATTGACTCCAGTTTTGAAAGAAGTTTTACTGTGGGTAAAATGTTATCAAACAGCCTTGCATGCTACAGAAAAACAGCTCCTAAAAGGAAGAGTCCATCGATGTGGCAAACTTGGTCTCTGTCTCATTTTGAGAAATTCCCACGGCCACCCCAGCCCTCAGCAGCCACCACCCTGATCAGTCGGCAGCATCAACATGGAGGCACAGTCCTCCAGCAGCAAAGAAATTATGACTCGCTGAAGGCTCAGATAATGATTGGCAATTTTTACCAATGAAGTTAAGGTATGTACATTGTTTTTTAAGACATAATGCTATTGTACACTGAATAGACTACAGTATAGTGTAAGCATAACTTTTCTATGCACTGGGAAACCAAAAATTCATGTGACTAGCTTTATCACAATATTCTCTCTATTGTGGCATCTGGAACTGAACCTGCAACATCTCCAAGGTATGTCTGCACTTACTTCCAAGACAATCCTTCGGACGTTTTTCACATACAGTGTCACATAATCATCGATGTAGGTAGACAGGTTGCTGGACTGTATATTATACCAATTCAACACCAGTGCTGCTTCATTTTCATTATTTCCACTCCATGTGATGACGGAGGGATGAGATTTCAGTCTCCTGACCTAAAGTTGAAGGAAACATAAAATAATTTTCAAATGCTCAACATAAGAAAGCTCAGAGCTGTAATTACTCACAAAGTTATAGCCACTGTCTTTCTGCACATGTATTTTTACGTGCCAGGAACTCATCAGAAAATGAGCAGTAATGTTACATGTGGGAAGACATTTTAAGAAATCGCTGAGATTCTTTTGATCTAGATTTTATAAACACTGAGAAAATAGGGTTCCTCTTCTCGCCGTATAACTAAAGAAAATGTAATCCCTTTCATTAAAAGAGAAAAATAAATCAACCTCATCATCTGACTTGCCACAAAAAGGTTCTAAGAAATACAAAAGGCAGGAGACGTTACATTACAGGGCTTAGCTTCTCAAGAGCAAGTTGGAGTTTTCTGTGAAGAAACAAATGAGGCAGAAGAAACACTACTGCTGAGAGAGGGACTGAAGTTCCCACAGTTTCCACCAAGATCAGAAAACCAGGACAGTTAGAGAGGGTTTTACAAAGCAAGTGAGTACCAGAGACACTCTGAAAGTTAAGGACAAATATATGGAATATTCTAAAGGAAAAAAGATTAGGACATCAAGAGGCTGTCCCCTGAAATAACTATCAATGTCCTGTCTTAAGAAATCAACTGGACTTCTCTGGTGGCACAGTGGTTAAGAATCCTCCTGCCAATGCAGGGGACGCGGGTTCAAGCCCTGGTCCGGGAAGATCGCACATGCTGCAGAGCAACTGGGCCCGTGCGACAAAATAACTGAGCCTGTGCTCTACAGCCCGCGAGCCACAACTACAAGTAAGTCACTGAATATATCTAAACATAGAAGAAGAAATTAGGGAATCTGAAAATCCTGCCTGCCTTAAGAGTTGAGGTCTGAGTGAACTGGGCTCACTGCCAGCCCTACATAAAGGTGAAAGGATCCAGTTCTTCTGACACACTGGAAGATGTAGCCCAGCAGAAGAAGGCAATTAAACCTCTTTGCCAACAACAGAGTGAGTCAATGGTCAAGGGAAATTCTTTTCAAACATGTTTTAGCAATATAACCTCATTGGTATTTATAGCTTCTCTTGCACTGTAATGGATGATTACGTGATGGATCCCAGCTGATGCTCTCTCTGTGGTCTCCATTCAATATGCTAAGTAACCCATACATGAAGTAGAGATGCAGTAAGGATATCTTAAAGAGATATATCTCATTTAAAAAATTAAAGTCTTGTTTTTTTTCTTAACCAGGCTTATAAACAGTATTTCCTTATCTGCCTCTGTATATGCCCATGTAAGTGAGGGCTGTGACCAACTGTGACAGGCATGTTTATGGTACTGATGAAAACACAAATCCAGATACTGAAGAGACAAAAAGCTTCAGTGACTCTGTGATACACACACCCTTCAAACTGACCTAGAATTTTCCGGTGAGCTTTACTTTAAAATTTTAATAAACTCTGCATTAAAAAGTTCTCCTCTTTAAAATATATAAAAGAACTGAAAACACATAGATATCATATTTTACTTGTGTGAAAGAAAATTAAAAATAAAACTGAAATGTTTACAACCTACGTAACTATAATTAATATTTTAAAAGTTATTCATTCATCCATCCATCTATACATCTGATGAATAATACAGCCAGATCATGGGGACATACAGGAAGGAACATGCCCTAGGCCTCAGGGATATTATAATTTTGATGCAGTGCCAAAATATTGAAAAAGTAATTTCAAGTGTGATATATGTCACAAAGGGAAAATGACCTAATCTAGACTTGCAGACGTAGAAAGCTTTTTCCCAGAGAGTCATGCCCAAGGTAAGACAGGCCAGAAAAACATGAGCGAGGTGGTCCACAGGAGAGGGTAATAGAGAAGGCGTTCCAGGGCACAGAGAGTACGGGGAAAATGGCGCTTGATGAGGCTGGAGAGGGAGGCTGAGACAGGATAGTGCATGGTGAGGATCCTTCATTTTATCTGGAGGGCTCTGAGCAAGGGATGATTCAATGTTCATTTTCTAAACTTCAGAAAACTACATAAAACAAATTATGACATGGTGAATTATTATAAAGCAATCACACTTATAACACACAATCCAGACTAAGAAAGAAAACTTTACCAAGCACCCCAGAAGCCCTCATGTACTCCTTCCTAATCGTAGCCCCTCCTTCCTTCCAAAAGTAACCACTATCTTGAATGTTATAATAATCTTTTTTTCATTTCTTCTGGGTTTTCACACAAAAATACATTCACACACACTCTAATTACGAACTCGTGGATTGTAACATACTTGATGGATTTCGATCCACTGACATTCTTATCCTTATTGAATTTCAAGTTGTCCCACCTTTGGTTGGTCAGAGTCTCATCAAAGTTCTTTTAAACATATCTTTGATAGCTTCCTTGTTATTCGTATGCCAAAATATTTCGGGATCATCTAGTATATTTCCTGTCCCAGAATTGGTATCAGCCATTTCTCTAAGAACCCTTCTCTTAGTGGGATTACTTCAATATAAGAATGCTCAGGGCTTCCCTGGTGGTGCAGTGGTTGAGAGTCCGCCTGCTGATGCAGGGGACACGGGTTCCTGCCCCGGTCCGGGAAGATCCCACATGCCGCGGAGCGGCTGGGCCCGTGAGCCATGGCCGCTGGGCCTGCGCGTCCGGAGCCTGTGCTCCGCAACGGGAGAGGCCACAGCAGTGAGAGGCCCGCGTACCTCAAAAAAAAAGAATGCTCAATATGACTAGGTTGTTCACTGTTTCTAAGTCTTTTCAGTGGACAGAGCTAGGATATAATCACTTCTTTGCATTCATAGATCTATAAATATAAAAGTGTTTATATGTGGAATGTAAAAGAAATCAAGGAGTCAAGAATCACTTAAAATTTTTGACCTGAGAAATTCAAAGACTGGCATTGCCACTTATTGAGGTGGGGAAAACTGCAAGAAAAGCAAGTCTGGGGAAGGTAATATAAGTTTGATTTGGACATGTTACATTTGAGATTCCTATTAGACCTCCAAGTAGAGGCACCGAGTAGGCAGCTGGATAATAAGAACGAGGAATTCAGCAGATAAGTCAGGGCCAGGAATAAATCTGACAGTCATCAGCCAATAGGTAGAGTTAAAGTCATGAGACTGGGTCGAATCGCCTAGGTAGTCAATTACCTGACTGATTTTTTTCATGGGATTTAGTAAAGAGAACAACGAGAAGAAACTAAACACAACACTGTAAATCAACTATATTTCAATAAAATTTTTTTTAAAAAAGAAGAAACAGGGCTTCCCTGGTGGCGCAATGGTTGAGAGTCCCCCTGCCGAGGCAGGGGACGTGGGTTCGTGCCCCGGTCCGGGAGGATCCCGCGTGCCGCGGAGTGGCTGGGCTCGTGAGCCATGGCCGCTGAGCGTGCGCGTCCGGAGCCTGTGCTCCGCAACGGGAGAGGCCACAACAGTGAGAGGCCCGCGTACCGCAAAAAAATAAAAAATAAAAAAATAAAATAAAATAAAATAAAATAAAAAAGAAGAAACAAGGAGAGGTTTAACAAAAGGCAGAACTAAAACTTAAGCCTTTACTTCTACTTGAAATGGTAATAACATACCTGGTAAGCAACTTCTGCTCTCACTGAATCCATGAAATCCTGATCAGTTGGGTAAAGCGCACAGGCAAACATAAAATCCTGCCATACCTATCAAATCAAATAAAAGGCAATATAGCACTTCCATAGATTTTACTGCACAGAAAGAAATTCTTCATTCTGAACTTTGGGCATTATCTTTCATGCAAATGAAAAATCAACTTAGCCCGATGAGTGTGATCATTTGAGCATCACAAAGCATGAGGCACTGGGAAAGGCACTCACAGACTCTCTGGAACTGTAGGG